ATTATTTTAATTATTTATTAAATTATAAATAAAATATAAGTTTTGATTTTTTCCAATTATTTTTGATCCATACTGTAAGTTAATATTGACAGTTTTATTATTAATAATTTAAATATCTATAATATATAAAATTATTAATATTGATAATAGTATACATATGGTAATTTAGACCTGTGGGTCTGTAGTGTAGTGGTTAACACTCCACAGGTCAAATCACAAGATACCAGTTTAACCTCATGTGAGAGCGGTTGAATAGAATTAATATGGTATCTGGTGCCATAACCTGTAAAAAGTGCCATTTCTTATAGAAAAAGCCATATCACATGCTGATCCAGTGGGCTTTGAGATTGGGATTTCCAGAAAAGGCGTCATGGTGTGACGATCATCCAGTTGGTATTACGATGATCGTTGGAAGTTGTAAGAAGTATGAGGTGTTCACTTTCGGTAAAGATGGCTTGGTGATCGTTTTCCCATGATACCTGGTGTCTCTTCCTACAAAGATAGCCAGAAAGGTCCTATTCCAATCCAGTAATAAATCACTCCGATGGTTACTTATACCGAGAAGGTGGCCTAGCAGTAAGACCGCTAGGTAACCTTGTGGATACCTAAATGGGCAGTAAGATCTGGTGACATGAGTTCCTTGGATGTTTTTGGGTAGCTTGAGGGGGGTGGAAATTAAATGGAAATCGGTGTGTCCAGCTGCAGGTGGTCAGATCTGGAAGATTAACTAGGTAGTGTTCTATTATCCAAATATAGGTACTACCCCCAGTGCCCCAAAAATTCAAATTCTCCTTAATTTCGCACAGTGTCAAATAGAACATTTAGTTTAAATCAATAGGATGTATTGCGGTAATCTTGAGACAGCAATACATTAAGGTAGGCTGCACCCAGATGGTATATCTGTGGGTGAATTCTAATTGTGATAGTTGTAAGTATAGACAGAAATGTACTATGTATGTTGTTTACAGCACTTCTAATAAATTAGAGTAAAGCTTACTCGCAATACAAAAAAAAAAAAAAAAAAAAAAAAAAAAAGTATACATATGATAATTGTTTGAATAAAATTTTGTTTTTAATACTTGTTTATAATAACTAAATAAATCTATATACAGTATATATAGTATATAATGATTTGTTATTGATATTAAATAAATTGAATATTAATATTTTTATGATATTTTTTAATAAAGTTTTTTTTATCATTATTTTAAATCCATAATTTAAAATTACAATAGATTTGTTATAATAAAAACAATCAAATCAAGATTTTTGCAATATATATTTTTGTAAAAATATGTTGTTTTCATTTAATATTTTCATATGGATTTATTTTAGTTTTCAAAAAACTTATTTATATTTAAATTAGATATCATAAATATAATATTATGATATACTTTATTTTATAATTATTTCAAATTTAAATAAATATTGTGTTTATCACAATCAATGATTTGATGAATTTAATAAAAAAATTAAAACATATTAGATAACAATGTTAAACTTAAAAGTAAATAATAGGTTTCAATAAATCAAAAAAAAACCTTTTTTTTACTTATAATAAAATATATTGATTGTGCATGTAATAACAATAATTGAAGAGAAAATCTAATAAAATAAAATTAAATAACAGGTACAAATGCAATGTGCAATATATACGTACAGTGCGTGTTTATGATCGATTGTTTATTATTAATAAAAAATTTTAATTATAAAATTAATTGTATGTGTGATAAATATGATACATAAATTTCTTTAATTTTATTTTTCATTAAAATAATTTTAATAATAACAAAATAGTAATTTGAATAAAGTTGAGCAGATTCTTTTATATGTATGTATACAGTATATTGAAGAATCCCTTTTGGAGAATATTATTTTACATAATTCAAATTAAAACTAACAAAATGTTTTTATTTAACAGGGGTATTGGGAAAGAATATGTTTATACAGTACTGTTGTCATTTTATAACAAATGTAGTAATTTCATAAATTTTTGAAAAACGAATACAGTATTACAGTATCTCATTTCAGCATCATAGTACCATGTCTATACAGATAATCCACGAAATAGAGACGATTACGTATGCACACAACCTGATACCATTTGTTGTGACAAACAGAGCATAAACAAACGTTCATTTAAAGTAAATGATGCACGTCGTCGTCGTGACACATATACAGGTATGACCTACGAATGTAAGCTTTACTCTCTCTCTTGCGATGAAAACATTTGAAAATTTTCCAAGCGAATGTCTTCGAGAAATATTCTTGTGTTTAGAAGATGATTACTTGGAACTCTATAATTGTTTGCTTGTTAATCGTTTTTGGTGTCAACAAGTCGTTCCTCTATTATGGAGAGACCCTTTTCGCAATCTACCATACATCACAGGCGAACGTGCAGACAGATTTTCACATTCTTTATGTGGAAGCTATATCTCGGCGTTAAATGAAGATGAGCTAAATATTATGCATTCGCATGACCGCCGCCATAACCTTCCAGCACCATCATTTCAGTATTCTTTATATTTAAGGAAACTTATTTTTTCAGACATCCAGACAATAGTAATGAGTTGGTTTAAAATTAGAATGTCACATGTGAAATCTGATCACAATGATTCTCCCAGGATTAAACTAATCACGGCTGCCATTATTCGATTGATCTTGAGAACTAGTTGTTTAAGGGAAGTGGAAATTTCCGATCACTTTATTACCAGAGGCATTCTCGAAAGCATTCCATCTTCTTCCTATCAACAAGCCTTTTCACAGTTGCGCAATTTGAAAGTTCATGTGGGTTCTTTCCCAAGTTTTGCAGGGTTATTAAAAGATCTACCAAAGTTATGTACTCACCTTGAAGAAATAGAATATGTGATCGAAAGAAGCGCTTCACATTTTGAGATCATAGACTCATCGGTCAATATCATGTCCGCGCAACGTAATTTGAAAAAGGTTTCCATGAATATTGCTTGCTCAAGCATGCAGGGAAAGATTCTATCCGCCGTAAATCTCCACAAAGAATCCCTAATTTCGCTTTCCTTAACTGACATTGATCTCTCGATCGTAAATCTAAATAGAATCGCTGAATGCACAAGACTGGAATCCTTGTGTTTCTATAGTTGTCGTGGAATCATCACGAACGGCTGTAGAAAGCTTTTGCGATCATCATCGATCCAGCTTAAAAGTTTGACCTTTGAAAAGAATCAATTTTCGGATGAGAATTTGATAGCGACACTTGTCGAGAAAGCGGGAAAATCATTGTTGAATTTGAGCGTTGATGAGTTGTCAGTTGAGATAGTAGATGCGCTAGTTAAATTCTGCCCCAAAATAGAAGAACTCACGTTATTTTATGAATTTCAAGATCTTGATGCATTTTTACGATATTTCAAAAAGTCCTCAATAAACCGATTTACCATCATCTCAGATATCATGAGTGATGCGACCATTATCTTAAACGTCTTGGGCAAACACATTCCTCCTAATTTAGAGACCATAAATATTTGTGGCTATTTTGACCCGGAATCATTTGAAAAGTTTCTATCCGATTACTCGCATTCACCATCTACCTCCTTGAGGAACTTTTTCATTAAGGATTTCGATGGTCATTCCGCGAAATATCTCAAGGCGCTCAAGGATTATGCAAGATTTAAGAATACACTGAAGTCAGTGATTATAGAACCCGGACTGGGTATTACAGATGAGGTATTGGATGTTGCGCAAAGTATTAAAGAATTGGGGATCGACGTTTCTTTTCTAAATCATTTGTCCTCTATTGATGTTTGTGCTTTACGGGAGTCTTTGACACTTTGAAATTTTGATATCTCTTTCTATCCTGCATTCTAAAGTTTCGTCTATATATAAGGAACATGCAATATACTGTACATATTGTATGTTGATTTTGAAAGAATCACCAAGTTTTTGTAATTTTGTAATTATTAAATAAAATTGATACATTGGTTTTTGTTCTAAACCTTTTATTCTGTTATATCAACGGGAATTTATTAACCTAAAAAATACATTATTAAGTACAATGCTGCACAATACGGTATACTAAAATAATTTTGGTCTTGTGAACATTTTAGATTATCTATTATGCGCAAAACCAATTGATGTTCGATTCAAATCATAAACGGAATACACATTCTTCAAAAATGTTGCGCCAACAAGCCAGGTATCCGATCCATTTATAGCACCAACTGCAATATTCGAAATACATTCGTTTCCACCTATTGGATAAAAGATCAAGTCCATAGCTGGCATCTCGTAGCTTACACCGCCAAATTTAAAGGCAACCACAGCGGAGTGGTCACACGGGATGATGAAGAAATCCTTGGTGGGTGCTAACCAAGATCCCGGAATCAGATCATGGATTGCTTGAGCATCAGCCAGAGGAAGGTAGATTTCCGTGGTTCCAGTGTCGGTAATGGCATTTTTTCCGGTAAAACCAACGGGACTATTGTCAACAAGGACGTCATCCACATCTATCTGCCAATACCCGGCAGGATTGGACACGGGATTGAATGTAATCTCGCCACGGAATTGACTTTCGTCAACACCACCAAAAGTGATCGATGATTGATCACTAAAATTCAGATAGTGAGAAAGATGAATACCAAATAATGGTTCGATTTGATTTTGCTCAACCAAGGCTGATACTAATGTCGGAGCAGGCATTGTGTTCAGACTATCCAAGCCCAAACCCAAGATTCCATCAAAACTGTATGGTGCAAAATCATCAGATTCATAAATCGCGAGACCAAAAGTTTGATCCTCGGAAGTAAGGCCAGCAACTTTAACAGTATCTTGTCCAACGATACCATATACAGAGGATGTTATGGAAATACCATAGTAGATAATCCAGTAATAGTTGCTCGGTTTAAAGGTGGAGGATTGTGATGAATCAAATTTATTATGATTGACACAAGCGGAAGAGGTACAATCTTTATTTGGAATCCAGAGATTCGAAGAGCCGGTATCCAACAGTACATTGAAATCTTGTCCACCAATGGAGATTTGGATGTAATAATAATAATCTAGACTATCATCTTTTGCAAACGCGGTACTCGGTGTTTTCGCATAAGACGAGTTATACTCGGTAAGGTCGACGTACGATCCTTGCACTAAAGATTCTGTTCTCTGAAGTTTTTGAGCATACTTTTCCAAAGCGACCATCCGTCTGTATCTAAAGAATGTAATTGCGCTTGACGAATCTGTGATGGGATACGTAACTACGCCAAGAATAGCAACAATAGCAAATGATATAAGGTAAAAGATGAGTCTCTTCATGACTTTTTCTTTTTACTTCCAAAATTTGAAACTATTAAAAAGAGAAATATTCTTATTTTCTTTTGATAATGATTGCATTGATAAAATCGTGCGATTCTTCAAATACAATAATAAAAACATAACAGTAAACACATACTGTGCATTGTTGTCTAATGGGAATAAACAAAAATCATATTTTTGTAAACATCATGCGTATACTGTACGCGCCTTGAAAGGATCTCAACCAACGCCTCACGTATTGTGTACTGTATACCCTACGTCTATCGAAGATCCAGCAATCACACAAACAAACAAACCGATACGCTAAGCACCGCACCAAGAAACTTGAGGCCTACATTCTAAGCCATCGTCGAAGAGACTCAAATATTTCTTTATGGAAATGAGTGGCGAATTCTTCAAATTATTGTACAGCAGCATTATCATTTTTGTTTTGTTTTGTTTTTTGATTGTTTGTATAAAGTACAGTGATTTAAACTGGTTTGTTTCAAATAATGTATGGCATTATTCTATTTATTTTCATCTCGCAAAGTATTTGTTCCCTTTTACTTGAAGACATAATAAGAAATGTTAATTTGGGAGGCTGACCGTGTGTTATTCGTAAACCACATCATATCTATTAGCAACACCAAGACGAGGCGGGCTTGTACTTTGGTCAAATATCACAAAATAATTCTAACGATTCAAATAGGCACGTTATGATTAGATAGTCAACACACATATTGTGAATGTCTATACCGTAATCGTACTCAATACTGTACCTTTATGAAGATTGCACCAAAAATCCAGGAAACTGTATGAGACGAGCAACCAGTTATTCCGAAACTGCAAGTGTCCTGATCATCATCCAACGGATCGAGAATCAAATCTTTTATAGGCATTAAAAATCTTCTTCCCTCTATCACAAATTCCAATGGACCCAAAGTTGTGTCGGTATTGCATGGTACCGTATAAATACTAACGTCAGCCCCATCGCGAATTTCCGTTGACATAGAAAAAGCCGCACCAGGTATCTGTGAAATTATGTATTCGGTAATGCTTCCATCTATCATGATCTGTTGAGATCCGGTGTCAAAAGCTACAGGATATGTGACGGATTGGTTCAAGTTAAGGGGTATATTGTCAAAGTAGACATTGGTCACCGTGATTTGCCAATGTTCGTCTTCCGTGAGATAGGAGTAAGTTATTTCTCCGTCAATTTCGGAATAGTCGATTTCGCCAAAAGTTATCTCTCCGCCTGCATTACTTTGTGAATCTTTGATCAGTTTCACCGTGTATACCGGTTCCGAAATCTGCAATACACACGTTCGGATGTTTTTTTATTAAAATCAAGTATATCTTGACATGCATGCATGCGTATGTGGGCTAGTTACCAATCCTCGCGATATCATATTGTCAAACACCGTCTAAATTTTATTGTTGAGGGAAGGGTGATAATAGTAAGTCGAGATCCACCCCGTTAAAAGAAATGTTGCATACTGTACTTACGGTGCTACCATAGTCTGACGATCTACAATTTTAAAGATACAATACTGTAATTAATGTTTTCGAAAAGTCTTTCCCCCCCCCCCCCCCAAACGATAAACTCACGCGCTAAGCCCGATAGCCAACAATCCATCCGAATCTACTAAGATATTGCTATAGGTGATTAATCCCATGGTTTGATTTTCTACGAGGATCCCGCCAATATTTACCACGTCCGATCCAAAGTAACCTTTTGGACCATTCCCTCCAATATATGTCATAGCAAATTCGCTTCCGTTATATACGAAAGTAGAAGACTCATTCGGATCATAGAAATTTCCGCTCGTACAACTTTCGCAAGACGTTGTGACAAGCCAGGTTTCTGGTGATCCGGAATCGACTATCAGATTCAATGTTTGTCCAGGTGTTCCTACGTCAATCGCTGCTAACCACTACGCATGTGAAAAAAAAAAAAAAGTAAAACTCAGACCTTTTTATATTGGATCTGAGCTCGCGAGTAAAATACTGTACCTCATAGTTTTTTGTCAACAAAGCAACCTTCCCATAATTCGAGTTCGGTAGAGTTACAAATTTTCGTTGCTTCCTATATTGTATTGGAAGTTTTATGACTTTTTTATTTGTATCGGAAATGGCATTATTAAGATCCCGACGAGATTCGTGCAAGGGATTTGCAAGAATTTGCATTAAGAATATTAGCGCGAAAATAATATATAGCTGCATTCTTTTGCTTCATCAAACCTTCGAAGAGATGGTATCGTGGTAACTCAAGAATCCAGCGTGAAAAAATATTTAAAATTCGTCGAATGTGGCTTTAAAATTTTTTTTTATTATTTTACAAATATTTTTTACCTGAGGCGAGGTATTTATTTTGTCAATGTTGGAAAGTAATTTATGCTCATAAAGAACATGAATAATAAAGAATGTTGGTAAAAAAAATGCCACTATCGTGCGAATTACAAGTAAAAAGTTAACTGTAAATTCGATGTGAGTTTGACACTATTGGGAACTTGACAATGCGAGAGTCAATTGAATAATAGAGCTGACAATACGCCTTCAATCCCTTTGCAAGAGATCACACGAGTAGTAGGATGTAATGTGTTTATAATGTTGTTATGTGGTAATTCAGCGAGGATTCCTCGCGTAACATAGCGCTCAGTCGGCGAAATAACAAATAAGATATGTTTATGTTTGACTCTTGATGTATGTTTTCGACTTTGTCGATCTTTACTCTCCTTTCACTTAGCACTTATATTAAAGTACTTCTGCACACTTAAAAACAAGGTAAGAGTTTGTTTTAAACTTTGCTTGATTATTACTAAATTTTAAAACGCTACCTGTTTACTGTACTTGTTAGGTCTGTTTACATGCTACTGAAATCACTTGCGCCGCCTGTTTACATGCGTCATTCTTTTCCCTCAGCCTCACTAATTAAGTAACGCGATGGCGCGTCACGTTGCTGCGTCCTATCATTTTTATATAAACATGAATACTTTATGTCTTAAAATTTCGAAGGTGTTGATTTCATCTTGTCAACTCTCGTTTTTCTTATTACACATTTCATTTCGTTTTTTTTTTCTGGTTATTAATGATACGCATGACTTTTAAAAAATAGATATCTATGTACGTTTAATGGATATTGCCAAAAAAAAAAGTGGAGATTCCGTGCATAAACAAAAAAACACAAGAAAATTATATCATATACTGCATATCGAATATACAGTATTATGTAAATACTGTAAATATAATTTGTATAAAATATAGAAATATAAAAATAATAATATACAGCAAATTAACTATAATTAATCAATATTGTCATTTTCAGAATAAAATAAGTTTATAAAAAATTAATATATTTTTTATTGTTGATATAACCCATTTAACTGATAATTAGTATTAATAAAAGCATAAAAATTTATAAAATTTATATTTATTCTTTCAACTTTTAAACTCTAAACACTTTTTCAAAATTAAATTAACCCTTATTCACTTTACCAACTATCATTAACAACAATTCATAACAATAAAATAAAAACTTTAAATTTATTATCTTTTTTCTAGTTATTATTGAAAAAAACATACCAGCTATTTATTAATATAAAAAACAATTCTATCTAATCTAATGTCTTGAAATTCTTGAAATTCTTTTTTAATTATTAATATTATTTTTAAATATTCCAATAACAATAATAATGAAATTATTATTTTTTTTCGAAATTAAACAAAATTAAATTAAATTTTTTTATTTTTTTAAATATCAATATTGATGATGAAATTTATTGATAAGAAAAAAAAATTTTATATCTCTTTCAATAATTTTAATTTTAATAAAAAAAATTAATAACAATAATTTAATTTAATTATATAAATAAGATATTTTATATAACTATTTCTAATTAAAAAACTGTTAAATTAATTTTTTTTTTTGATGTTAAGGTGAGACACTTTTCATGATCTTTATTGATAGAGTAAATAATTAATGTTACATGATCAATATTAAGATATGAG